CCCATAAACACAATCAAGCCTAGAAAAAAAACAGTGAACCACCCCTTTAAGTGTGCTAAGAAAATGTCGTGAAAGCGTTCTCTCTTTAATTAAGTGCACTTAAGTGGCCCCTTATTTCATTAATATTATCTGCAAGCACATTTTATTTTAAATATACTTTTAAGATTTGAAGTACGATACAAGTGCACATTCAATATAACTAAGCGCACCTCTTTTTCACAAGGGTAGGAACACCTTTGACCAACAATACAGTGACTAGTACCCTTAAATGGTAGCGTAAGAAAGCGTTGAAAGAACCAGATGATTCACAGTCATAGTTTGAGTATTTTTCTGGCAGTCTTGGAGCGTCTGCCAACACTCAGACCTCTGTTTCATTTATTCTCTCTTACTTGATAGGCTTCTCAATGGTGCAGTAGGTGGTAAAGGCTTGAAGCTGTTGCTGAACACCCGATAGCGAGTTTGCAAACTTCTGGTTGCTAATGATGCTAATGGTTCTCTCAATCCACTCTAACAGGTCGGACGCTAAAGCCTCGTAGCGGCGAATGATCTTCTCAGCTTCGATAGCATTGTCCAGCACCTAGAAAGAGAAAAAAGAGAGGGGACCTCATTTTAAACCTAATTTAAATGAGGTTTAGCTCTATCAAACATGCACAAAAACACCCCCTACCTTTCCAACTCTCTTCCCTTCTACAATAAGTGCCTTCATTTTGGAGAAATAATGATAGTAGGAAACTACATAAGTGATGATGGACTTCTCATCCGGATTTTCTGTGTTTACATCTGGGTGGGAGAAAATGGTTATTGTTTTGAGTGATCATTCAGCTATTTAGCTGAATCAATAAATCAAAAAATATCAAACCTGGGCCCCAACTAGTGCATTTAAAGGTTCACATTGTGTTGACTGTATATAGTGAGAGTAAAATGCTGTTCGTTACCCTCAGGGTCTAGTAGCTTGGTGAGTCCGAGACTCTGTTCAGCGATGTTAAAGGCTTGCTGGAGGTTGTGTGTTGCATTGGATCTGGTCAGCTTGTGGAATTCAATTAAATCAGGCCTGTGAAACACACAAGCAGAAATCGGCTCACATAACAGCCTCTATCAATGATGTGAATGGAAGGAAGCCTTGTCAGTATGATGTGTGTCTGTCTGACCGCTGACCTGTGCCTGTGAATAAGAGCGTTGAAAGCCAGGCCGTCCCTCCAGCAGGTGGTGAAGTTGTGAATGTTGACCTCAGGATACCTGGGGCAAAACACATGAAACATCATGAAAGATGTACAGGAAGATCATGTGTATTTCTATAAAGGCCTAAAAGAAAACCTGATTTGCTGCTCAAGAAACATTCATTATTGTTATCATGAATGTTGAAAACAGTTGTAATATTTTTGTGAAACTGTGATACACTACCAATCGAAAAACTGGGAAAAATAAGATACAAAAAAAAAAAGATGCAACCATGCATGAAATTGATCAAAAGTGACAGTTAAGACATTTATAATATTACAGGATATTTATATTTCAAATAGAAGTTTGCTGTTCTTTTCAACTTTCTATTCATCAAAGAATCCCCCCAAAAAATGTATCACAATTTCCACAACAATTGTTTCCACACTCATAATAATAAGAACCATTAATGATAAATGAGCAACAATGATAATTAAACAGCTAATCGGCATATTAGAATTATTTCTGAAGGATCGTGTGAAATTGATAGCTGTTGAAAATTCAGCTTTACCATCACGGGAATAAATTACATTTTAAAATATACTCAAACAGAAACAGTTATTTCAAATTATAATATTATTTTACAATATTACTGTTTTTCTGTATTTTGATCAAATAAATGCACCCTTGGTGAGCATAAGACTTCTTCTAAAAACATTGGAATACCTTAATTATTCCAAATTATTATTTTGACCAGTAGTATATATATATATATATATATATATATAATATGATTGTCTTTGGGTTGGTTATGGGTAGTTGTGGGATAGATACTGTATATACGTAGATGTTACCCTGCTGTTTTCATCTGACACCACAGAAGAAGGGCATCTTTAGCTGAGCGTGTCTCTCTGTTGTCCTCCGTCTCAATCTTAATCACCTGGATCTGTTAGGAATGAGAAACAACAATAAAAAGTTAGTGCAATCTGAAATTCACAGACATTAAATGATTGTGAGCTTTTTAAGGGATTCATCACAGGCTTTGCTTTCCTTGCTGGGATCATGAAGCCAAAAAATGTCATATTCTTATTGCAATGAAACAACTGAAAGCACACCAGGAGAACCGTGGGCTATCCCCATCTTTAAAAAAGGGCTGTTATTTTTGGACGGAAAACAGTAAATGTGTAATTTTTTTTCTAATGAAATGATATAACAATTCCCCTGAAGCAGTATCAACAAAATTATATACTTATACTACACAAAATTATATACTTTTTTTATTTTTATTTTAGGTCATTTAGGTCTTTCTTAATTTTTTTAAATTTCATTTTGCAATTCATTTCACTCTCACTCTGAATGTGTGTTGTGTATGAGTATGAACCTTTTGCACTCTGGATGTTTATAGTCTCACTGCTTCATTATTGTGTGCCTTCATTCAACATTGTGGCTGATATATAGATTTTATTCAACACTATTTAAAAAAGAAAAATTGCTCTGTCTTAGAAAAAAATTAATATGACTGTGCTAGTTTTGAACCACTCA